CAATCATATTATAATTGCTTTTGGGCCCCAAGTCATTACATCCAAGACTTGAAGACAAAAAAAGGAGGAAGGAGGTGACGTGCCAGTGATTAGAAGAGCAAATAAGGGGTCAAGGAGGGAATGCAGACAGAAGGGGGAGGGGAGTGTCAATTCCCACAAAGCTTTGGTGGAAAATAAGTCTTCTGGAAGAGGAAGGAAGTAAAAGAATTATAGAGACAAGACAAGGGAAGGAACTGCTGATGACTCAGAAATAATGCTGTTTCTAGGCTCTGTGAGTAGCAATGTAAGACTCAAAGAAAAGACACAACATCCGCAGAATGTAATATCCATTCAATCACATTTTCCAAAGCTTCTGACCACCTCCAGAGCTAGATTTCTGCTAGGCCATGGAAGGAAGAAGGATCAAAAGGGGTAGTTTCCTATTGGAAGGAATCCCATGATCTACTAGAGAAAGCAGATATGTAGGTAGTAAATTATGATGCAGTATGCTAGTTATAGCAATAAAAAGTACAGTGAAGGCACAGAGAAGGGAATAATAGTCTGGTCCTGGTGAAGCAGATGAATTTAAAAAATATCTCACTGTGGGCTGTGGGTCTCTGCCCCCCCACCCCCACATAGACTTTAGAGGCCTTTAAGAACCATGAGGACTAAATATAACAGCACACCTGTCATGGAGGAGTAGGTGGTGAGCATGAGTATCACCGAGGGGAAAAAGAGCACAGAGAATGTGGTGCTGCAAGAGCCTCTGAAGGAGCACAGGGGGCACAAAAGATGAGGAAGTCTGTTCCAAGCAGAGGGGCAGAGAATTCTAGCAAGTCCAAAACATAATCTAGGTTCTCTGGCTGTTGGGGAGAAGAGAGGCAGGGACATGGGTCAAATCTGCAGGGCAAAAGAAGTGGGCTTCTAAGAATAATAAAAGGCTTACAGCTGGGTGAAATACAATAGCACCTGCAGTTTAGAAAGAACATGCTGGCGGCTACCAGGAAGATGGTGAGGGTTTACTTGCATCTGTTGGAACAAATCCAGGCGAACTTTCAGGAGCAAGAAACTGGTACCTAAAGGGTCCCTGGAGGAAGATGATTTCTACATACACAGTCTCTACTTGCAAAAGTCTCAGAACAAGTTAGTGAAGCAATCAACCAAACAATCATTTTCCCCCTTTGAGAGGAGGTTGGAATCAAACAGAACCTAAGGGAAGCTGGTGAGTCATCTGTTTGGCATTGTCATTATTTTACGGATGCTGATGCCTGCAATTTACAAATTTGGAGGAGCTGTTATAGAGTCACATACATTTCTGGAGCACTAAAATTGATTCAAAACCCCATGTTTTTTTAAAGACAACAAACGCCTGTTTGGACATAAATGCAGGCTCCCCCAGGCTGTGCTCAGGTGTGGGGTGCACCCTCTGGCAGCAGCTGACTGGCACAGGGCAGGGAATGGATCTCTGGCTTCCAACTAAGTCCACAGGCTCCCAGGGGGTGGGGAATAGGCAAGGAGGACTGAGCAGTCAAGGGGAAGGCTCTTTCCCACTACCCAGAGGCAGCCAGGGCAACACATACATGAACACAAAAGGACATGTCTTTTACCTAAAGCCTTGGTCTCCTCCATGTGGTGTTATGGCAGGGAAAGGATCTCTGGAGTCTGAGAATCTTAATTACATAATTCGTGCAAGTCATGTTTACCTACTAAGAATCAGTTTCTTTCTATATAAACTAGAGACAATTTATTCTCTGTACAATAACGATTAAAATGATAGGAACGCAAGTGAAGTACTTGGCACATAATAGCCATGTTAGTCCATTTTGTGTTGCTCTGAAAAAATACCTGGAACTAAATAAGTTATAAGAAACAGAAATGAACTGTCTCACAACTTTGTTGGCTGGTGAGTCCAAGATCAAGGTGCTGGAAGGCTGGGACCTGGTTCCTCTACTTCCAAGATGTTTCTCACACACTGCATCATTGAGATGGGAGGAGAACACTGGGACCTCTGGTAGCAGGAAGGTTACCCATACATGTAGGGGCTCATGGCCAAGTACCTCTTACAGGCCTCGCCCCTTACTTAAATACTTTGTAATACTGTTGCAATGGCAATTTAATTCCAACATGAGTTGGAGAAGATAAACACTCACTCCCCAACAAAGCATGTGATGATAGTTTGTATTTAGTGCAGAGTGCTGAAAAGGATAAACCTGCAGGAAGAGAACAAGCCTCTAACATGCTAAGTATCCAAACTCAGCAAGTAGCTAAAGTAAGCTTGATAGTTTTTTTCTCTTAAAAAGAATTTAGAAAATAAATTCTGATTCAGCAGTATATTTGTGTTAAGAGATACACATTGTCCAGAAATTTTAAAATAGGTTCTTCTTAACTTCAGACCTGCAGAGACCAATAGTTCACTTTTACTGCATCTCTCACAACTGAGCTATGCTAGTTACCTGCAACCCCTGGAATGCAAAGTCATGTCTATCCAAAGCTCACACAAATACATTCTCTCATAAAACTTGATAAAAACTCTGCGAGAGGGCCCTGTTAATCCCATTTTACAAAGCAAGGACCAAAATTTCTCCAGGTGAAGTGCTGCGTGGTGCACTTAGGCATCTCCCACACCAAGCAGTGGGGATCCCAGTGGCTAGCATGACTACAAAACAGCTAGTAGCCAGGAATGGGAATTGGGTGGTAAATTCAGGTTCAACCAAATAGCTTCAATAAAGGTAAAGCTGGATTTCTACCAGGCTCCTATAGAGCAAGTGCAGAAATACACGCAATCCTCCCTTAAAATCCAGCTAGCACCTGCCACTTCAGGTAATTAATAAATGCTGAATGAGCTCATTTCCAACTGTTATGACCTGCAAAGGAGCCAGAGATCCCAGTTAGCAGCCAAAGGATTCCATCACCCCTGAGCACCCCAACAGACACATTCTGAAGACTCTACCCAGCCCACAGTGGTTTCTTCTGTGGAAAATATCCTCTGCCAGGAAAGGCACCAGTGGTGATGTCTTATCACTAATGGGCTCAGGTCACACTGGCCCCACGTGACAAGAAAAGACACAAAACAGAGGCTGAGGCAAGAAAATGCCTCCTTGTGGATGTCTGGAGATGGTGCTGAGGAGCTAGTTGGTCAGTATTGTACATTTTGCCTGTAATGATGTGGGCTAAGGACTGAGGAAGCATGGAAGTGGGGGACATGGTTTGAAGAAACAGGGGAACAAGAAAGGACAGAGGGACCAGAAACCAGAGTAACACAGACATAAAGACAGAGACAGAGATGAACAGAGAGAGAGAGAAAGAGAGAGAGAGAGAGAGAGAGATGAAGAGGGAGAGAGAGAGGGAGAGAGGGAGAGAGAGAGAGAGAGAGAGAGAGAGAGAGAGAGAGAGAGAGAGA